TGGAGAGAGGCTGGCCTTTCTGAGGGCAAAGAGCTCACTAGACCTTTTGCGATCGACCTTGAGCCAAAAGGATCCTACAACAGCGCAAGAATGGATGGTAGACCAACGCCCAAACTGCCGTGAAGCTCAACTATTCAATAGAAGAATGCACGAGGAGAGCGGAGTACCAACCCGTTCCCATTCTACTGCTAGCTCGTTAGCTTTGCAGATACGTTCGATTACGCTGTGGGGAGTATTCTATTTTTGAAGGGTAATCTCTTTAAATATTATCTATAAAGTTCCCATCGTTTAAGAAAAACATTTTCTTATCAACAATATATTTTGTTACATTATTATACATTACAGCGCTACACAGATTATATCGAACCTCTACGTTTTCTATAACACTTTTGGAATAAAAATATATTTGCTTGATAATAGGACTTAAATTCGGCAGTGACGCACTTTAGAACGAACCTTTCTTTGATGGTCAGATCCATAGATGTTAAATATCTGGCAAAACAATACTCTTTGAATAAATGTTTGTCCTTGTTGCCAAACACGTCTCAAGGATTTGAACAATACATAAGTTGGCTAGGTTAGGTTAGAGGTTCGATCCCAAGAAGGATCACACTTGGACAGCTTAAACGCCGGTCCGTTGCGGTACCCAAAACTTCTATGAGCCCTTACATGCCGACAAAGCGCTTTGTGCCTATGACAAACTTGTTGAGACGGTCCATATCCGGGATGTTGCCACTTCACCCTCCTCCATTCAGCTTTGACAACTACCATCGGGTAGTATTTGAAGCCAGAAGCCAGAATGCAAGACGTTAGCTCCACTTCGTAACAGTACTTCTACCGCCGTTGATCGCGGCCACTTCCGCCTGAAAAACGCTACAGTGGTCAGGTAGCCTAAAGCAAAGATTGACGGAGAGCTCTTTACAGAAAACCCCCCCTCCAACTATCCCTCCTAGCTTCGACCCATCCGTGAAAAAGCTCACCGCGCCTCTACTCCAGCGGCTTCTTCCCCTCCACATCTCCCTCGTAGGGATATGAGCAGAGAAAAAGCCGCCTCGAGTGGCCGCTGTGACGCAGTGATCCAAATTTTCAGGAATGCAGCTGAAGGAGAAGAGAATTGTGGCGTGTTCTTGTTCGGACCTCTTCAAGAGCCCAGCCCTGAGCCTAATAGCACACATCGCAGCAATGCACCTACCGGCAATGTCCACAGGTGCTATATTTAATATAGCGTTGAGAGCTATCGTTGGTGTGGTTCGCAGCGCACCGGAAATTCCGATGAGGGCCGCTCTTTGGACTCCCTCAAGGTGCGCGAAGCGTTCAAGCTGAACCCAATATATTTATGATCAGAAAAGGAGTGGTCCTCTAAAACTCTCCATTTCGAGATCAAGAGAGCCATTTCCCTAGAGGCTAGCGTGACGTCAAGGACTTCCGCCCTGCTAGCTGTCACAAAAGTAGGGCAGTTTCCCCTATTGCAGATAAAAAGATCTACATCACTAATAAAATCAAAAAGTGACTCACCTCTTGCGTTTGTGTCCGAACTCCCCCAGACGGTGTGCCATGAATTGGCATCCGAGCCTATTAAAACCGCGGCTCCTTTGCGACTGGCCTCTGCCATAGCCATCCTCAGCAGGCCCGGAGGTCGTTCCACCTCGTCGTCGTGCGGCATATAGGCTACGAGGGCTCTAGCCTAGGAGTGACGACATCCTCGTTGCTGAAATTAGGTAAAAGAAAAACGCTAAGTTCATTTCTGACCAACAGACAGGCTCTGATTCTACCTGTGCTGCTTGCAGGAGCTTATGGCTTTTTGTCTTTAGTCCGGATATTCCATAGCTGCTCAGCCACGGTTCCTGGATAAGGACACCATCGGCTTCGTCCCTTCCTAGACGAAGCAATAGATCGGCGGAGGCCGCCTTTGAGTGCTGGAGGTTAATTTGGAGGATCTTCATCCTCCAAACTTCTCTCCAGCAGAGCGAGGTCCGCACCATCGTCCATATCGTCGACGCCCGCCACCTCGAACAGACGCTCGAGACTGAAAACGGATCCATCATCACCTGACGATCTGCCTCCCGTGCTCACCACGTCCGAGAGGACAGGGTCGACATCCATTTTCGAGAGTGAAACTTTCCCACTCTCATCCGCCCCGGCAGGAGGCAGCGGGTAGTCTCCCCTGGCTTCTGTTGGGAGCATCTTGAGAACGACCCTCTCGAAGCCATAGCTTATGACCCCTTTGTGACACTGAGAGGAGCGAGGGACTCCTTGTTCAGAAGTATCAGCGCTTGCCGATATGGTGTCTCGGTCCTCTCCAGCCTAATCACCCTCCATTCTTGGATGGGAAGAGATGGATTGCAGTATCGCAACGTCTCTACAATTTCGGCCGGGGTAGAAGGTTCGGCCGGAAGCCAGACCAGAGCCCGAGGCCGCATCGGGAGATCCGCTTTGGCCACCGCCGCGAGCCTTGCTCCTTTCCACACCTCTCCTACCCTGGCTACCGCCTCCTTATAAAGGAGAGCCGACCTTTCGTCGGCACACCTAATTAATTTGTGAATGCCGAGGTTCCACCCATCAGTTTTACATCTAGGGGGTGGTCCAGGGCTTCCCCTGACCACCTTCATGAAAACAGCGGAGATAGCAGCCGCTAACTGCTTCCACTCGTCATGGGAGATGGCTCCATCTCCCCTGCTTCGGTCGTACACCCCAAGCTCCACTGAGCTTGCGAGTTTAGCGATTTCGCTAAACATCGGTGCGGGTCCGACCCGGTTCCCGTCACGTACGTCGCTCAGCACCCTTTTGGCCCACTCAAGTGTGCTAGCATGCTGGTCAGATTTCTGATCAGCCTGCTTGCCACCGTAGCGCTCCAAAATCTTGGCAACCAATCGACGATCAGACTTCAGCTTTTTAGCTGCAGTCACGCGCTTCCCCACCGGGCCCTTAGCCTTCTCCGAGAACCCTGTGACCCCCATGAACTTAGCAGAGGTTCCTCTGCTAGTGCTGGCGATTCCGCCTTGCACTTCCGACCTACCCAAGGCTACCGTCGGCAGACTCCTGCCGACCACCCCTGCCTTACCGCCCCCAGTGACGGTAAGCCAGGCACCCCCTGGATTTCCCTTCTCACCCTTAACCGGGAACGATTTCGTCCCCTTCGGTGAAAGTGTCCCCCCCAGGGAACCGTCCACTATAGCAGAGGTCGGTTTCGACCTGCTTCCTCCCTCGTCCTTAGTAATTTCGTTCGTATTCATTTTTGTTGGGTCCCCACTCAGAACCACTATCCGCCTCCCGGAAAGGTAGTCGCCTTTTATGGTCCCAAGGTTATCTCAGTGGGCGTGACCCCGCCCCTTTAATGTTTTAATGTACATATCTTCCAAACCCCTAAAGCTTAATCAACTAAACTTGCTGAGAAGGAGTCCTTTTACTACTTCTTAATACACTGTGGAAATAAAAAATGTAACACACTGTGAAAATAAAATCAGGTAATAACCATGCCCACTCCCTATATAACGGTTATGTTGAAAACTACAGAAGTGCACTAAAAGCATTATTTTTAACAACCGAAATGGTAGGGAAGGGCTTTATAGGAGCAGTTGTAAAAATTGGTCAATAGTCGTGGTAGCGCCCACCTTTAGGTGAAGTCCTATATCCCATGAACTATACCTAATATAAATATTTTGAAACATCCGCTTGACTTTATAATTTGTATAATGGTAAATCTGTGAGGTTTCTTAAAGAAATTTAGAGAGCCTCTATTTCTGGTGATGATATGTAATAAAGCAAAACTGGATAAAATCGGGTCAATAAATTCTCTAGCTTCCATATATGTACCTTGCATAAGAAAATTTATAAAAATTATATAGGAATTTCAAACTTCCAGTTGGCTTTATACCGTATATATTAATATCATAGCATTACAAAAAAATTAAATAATAACACTTACTAACAAAATTAAGTGAAAGTATAATATTGGATAACTACAGCTTAATGTCAAAAATGTGTAATATCGATCCACGAATTACCCTATATACTATATGTAATGATTTTCATTAGTCCAGAATGATTTTGCATTTCTATACTTTGGTATACATACATAGTATAAATATAAACTGTAGTGTAATGTACAATAGTAATGAAACTCAGTGGCTCATCTACGGCTTATAATACGAGTATACATAAGTTAATAAGATACCAAATTTGATTGTAATCTTTTCACGATTTCGTCGAACAATGAGTGTTGAATTTTTTCGCAACAGTTTTTGATATGAAATTTTGTAAATACCTGAAGGTATTTCCTCGGCTTTGAGCCTTGCAAGTTTCGTGAGTATAAAATGTTCAGTTACACCCGAACTTCCTTACATGTTTGAATGTGCGTTTTTAAAAGTAGTTTGAATACAGTACTCGGAAGTCTGTCACGTAATATGTTTAGAGATACATATGTATATGTAATCACTTCTTAAACAAAGCTGTTTAGCTTCTCCTAGACTGAGCACTGGCTTCTTCTCCAAAAGGAGAACAATAGGTCTGTCCTTTTTTAGATGTCACGTGATTCCTTCCTTATCCTAGTTTGTCATCTACGTTTAAGGTTTCTCCATAATTATCAAACCACCTCTTCTCAATTGAACAATTCGTATTTAAATAGTTTATGGTTTTTTAGTAGTCCATTTGGGGGCTTCAGGAAGCATCTTTAGTAAAACTGCTTCAAACCGTCTCTTATGCAGAGCACTAATTTTTTTATCACACGGCACGACGTGACAAATAAAGAAGATCGAAAAAACAGAAACAAATGTACGCGACAGTGATCGCAATTGAACATTTGTTAATTTGCAAAAACAATAAAAATAATGTTTCAATGGAAAAACGTTTTTTTTTTGAACACACCGTATTTGGGTGACATTTTCTCTATTTATTCTTCCAATTAAAATTGGGAACTCACCTCGAACTATCAGCTCCACATTAGTTGGGCCAACCTAATTATGCATTCAGGTTAAATTTATTCAGCCAATTAAAACAATATATTTTTTATTTTTGTTTTCTTTTTTATTTTAAGTTTAATTTGCAAACGCTCGGCAATTTCACGAGCATTTAATGCAAAACTAAACATAATCTTTGGCATACGTAGCTTTTTGTATATTTCTTTGTATTTACATAAATAAAAATATATATATATGTAAGTATGTATATATGTATGAGTATTAAATATAAAAAATAAACTTGACAAAGGCTATACAAATGCGCTGTTTCTACTTAAAAAATATTTAAAATAGAAAAAATTAAAAACTACTTGGCTTGAGTTTAAATGAGTACTCCATCCAATCGAACTACAATACATATGCAAGTATGCATGAATATACGAGTATTTATGCACACCCTTTTGTACTGCATATGTACATACTTTTGTCTATGTACGAGTATGTCAAGTAAAGTCAATACATATGTGAAGATCTGCTCTTGGTGTGGAGATTTTGAAAATATTCTCGAAAATGTCAACTTAAACTAATTGGTAGCACACTCTAAATTTTTTTTTTTATGTTTTAATATTGCACATAATACGGCCTACAACTAATGATTTATAAAAACTATTTTAACTTAAAAAGTATGCAAAACGAAATGCTAGGTTAAAGCAAGAACTTTACAGTTTCAGTTGAGACTTAGCAGAGTTCAACTTTTAAAATTAAAGACTAGAACATCTCGTCCGTTTCAGTGTGGATACAGATATACAGTTTTAGAAACCCATACATATTTACACAATTAATTAATGTACACGCTGCCATAGCAATGATATACAGTTAATTAAACAATTATTAATAACATTTGAGTATATTAGCATAATTAATACAAAAAAAATTGATTTTGTGCAAAAAGCTGTCTAAAAATGTTTACAAGTACGAGTGCCTATATGTAATTAAGATCATTGTGTGTGTGTCTACTTCTAAGTTTAATTCATGACTTTGCTTGTTTTTTAAATTCATTTATTATTGTTTATTATAATTATTATTGTTTTTTTTTAACGAATAAATATTCATGGAAAGCTACCTCAACGTTTACGTTGCACGAAATACTGTACTGTTGCTTAAAAAATATTTCAATAAATCGGTGAGCATTACACATACGCAAGCAGAGAAAAATATTTCCATTTAAATTGAATTCACTATTTTATTATAGAAATTTGTGCAAAAATAAAGAACATTAGTGTAGAAGAGAGGGGCTCGGCGATAACTACTCCCGGGGCTAGAACTCTCAGGGGTGTCCGATGTTTTGGAACAATGTTTTGCAGATTTTTTTCTCCAACAACTCCCTATAATCATCCCCGGGCATCTCACTTCTCTCTATAGCCCTGAAGAGCATACATAAATTTGCAGATTGAGAGTTGCATTTCGCTTTTTTCCAAATATAATATGAAATATTAGGCTAGGGATTTTAGTATTAGATTTTTTCTTATGATATCAAATTTTTTTAGTTGTATTGTATTGTTTTATAATGTATCAATTGGAATTAATTGTAATAATTTGAGTATATTGATTATTTGTATTTTTTAACCAGTAAATACTTGTATAGTCAAAATAATATTTTTTGCTGCAGTTTTAAGTTTCAGTGTAAGGAAATTGAGCTTTGATTTCTTTACCAGTGAAATATAATAATATTTTTAGCTATTAATACAAATTTTAAGTCACTGGATTGTTAAGCTTACGGTTAAATGGTCTTCAACACTTCTTTATGTTTAAAAGTTTTATATATTGTACAAAAGAGAGTGTTAAATATACAATTATACGTCCGTAGATTTCAAATATGACAATTTTTGGTTTTTTTGTTTTTGCAAATTGATATATTTATATTCTTAAAATATTTCAGTGCTGCCAGTTTACAGCAATTAACGCATATCGATATATATAAATTTTTGTTTTTTACTTACGGAGTAGTTTTTAATCAGCTAAGACTAATCTTTTTATAATTATCACAATCAGTTTTCTACTAAACTACCAGTGTAAAATTCTTTTCAGTTAAATCATTATTTTTTCTTTGCTTATTTTATTGTATATTGTATTTAGTCCAACAAGTCTCGCCATTTCTCATGCTTTCAAAGTTCTAAGCAACAAATTGTTATAAAGATTAAGAGAGGAAAGAAGTTTTGAACGTTCGCCAAAAGTAGACAGAAGAATAAGTCTAATGGTGACGGCATTTTTTAAAAGAATTTTAGTTAACTAAAAAAGTATTATTTTTCGTTACTATTTATCAATTTATAATTTACCAGAGTCCGTAAGGTTGAGACTGTTAAAATTTTGAAGAAGAATAATCGCAATGTTTCGTATTTGGCCTAAGACCTATTTTATACCATAACGATATGCCATCATATTTAGACTATAAATCTAATCCAAAACAAAAAAAGTTAACTTCGGCTGCACCGAAGCTATAATACCCTTCACCGGAGCTTTATTATAGCATAAAAGGTATAAAAATATCGTTATTCCGATTTGGATCGGTCGGTTCGAATGGCAGCAATAGGAGTGGTCCGATCTGAACAATATGTTGGGAGACTATATCGATGCTTTGAATAATAATCTGTGCCAAATAAAATGGTTTTCCATACAAAGACTTAGGCTTGATCGACAGCTATATCCCTATTCTTAACAATTTGAATGGAGATTATAGCGATGACTTAGATAATAGTCTGCTATATGCTATAGTGGTTTGACATCGAGCATCTTTTTATGGAGAAAAGGACGTGTGTAAAATTTCAGTTCGATATCTCAAAAACTAAGGGACTAGCTTGCATATATACAGTCAGACAGACAGACGGACATGGCTAAATGGACTTAGCTCGTCTCGCTGATCATACTTTATAGGTCCTCCGACGTTTCCTTTTGGGAGTTACAAGCATCGTGACAGACTTACCCTAATATACTCTGTTCAGGGTATATAAACATGACAGAATTTTCCTATCTTTGTGATCGAGTTAGATGAAAAACTTGTATTTTGACATTATTTTGAAAAAAAAATTTACCCTAAACAATACTTTAGTCAAATAAAGATGATTTCAATGAATCCCTATTCTGAAACTGTGTGAATATCTGCCACAGTATCTTATGTCGACTTTTTTTAGGTTCTCTTCATCACACCAGGTTGCTGAATTATGAGTGCTTCGTCCTTAGAACTTTGTTAGCATTTGACTTCGAGCGAGAAAATTTCATAAAATTCGAAATTTACTTTTCAAATCAATCCGTAACATTCACGTCTTTTCTATGTAATATTTTACCCTCTGTATCTGAGCACATTTATATTGAAGCTCCAGAGTTTTCATACATACGAACAGTCTAACTTTTTCAGTTGTCATTGTCTTTTTGAACTATTTTCAAGGTATACGTACCCCTCTTTAAGCTAAGATTGCATAATTACCGGTCAATTCAAAAGGGCTGGTCTTTGTTGAATGTGTAAAATTATTTTTTGGCGAAAAGTCAACCGGTTGGTCTTGTACCTGTTGTGGATGCTCATTTCCCGCATTACAATATTGTAAGGGGATGTGCGTTGCCCCATTAGCAATAGCGATGGGTCCAATCGTATGATCGCGGTAGATAATATCACTTGCAGTTGTCGTCTGTATAACGCTTATGCGCTTAAAACGATCATATTCTTCCTGAGACATGGGGCTGGTGAGCATTGTATACGACTTCTCTTGTGCCACATTCGCCTTCATAGTGCAGTTGTTCTCGGTTAGCGTCAAAATGGTGGTGATTTCAAGTGGCTTATGCATGGATTCCGGCAGAATTTCACCATAGGTGAGTGTGCCGGCTTGACGTCGAACTTTCTCTTTTTGCAATAGTTTTGTGGCTAACGTGGACTTGGCAGAGTCCGTCAACGAGTGCATGTTCACGCTTTTAACGGTAGTGGCGTTGGGCGTATTTGCTGCATTTCGAATTGTACGAGCTTCACTGCGTTCCCCGTTGCGTTGGTGGTTTTTCATACACGAAGATTCCTCATGTTTGTACAGATAGGATTTAAGTGCGAACGCCTTGCCACAGCGAGCGCAGGTATGTGGCTTGGTATTCGAATGCGTTTGTATGTGGGCGCGCAGATTCGATTTATCCGCGAAAGCTTTGTTGCACACGCTGCACTTGAAGGGTTTCTCGCCTAATTAAATAAAGAGAGAAAGTAAATTATCATTAGATAGTCGTTCCTAAATATTAATGCGTCTTCAAAGCATACCGGTATGTGTCCGTATGTGGCCTTGCAACAGCCACGGACGAGAGAAACATTTGCCACAATACTGACATTCGCAACCCTGATTGTGTGTGCGCACATGCATGCTGAAGGCGGGCATTGAGACGTAGACCTTCTCACAGTATGGACATCGTCGCGCCTTCTTGTCCATTATTGACCTTAATGGAAGAATATTCGGAGCTTTAGTTACTCTGCAATTATTTGGTGATTGAAAATATTTTGTAATACCTGTGTGTTTGTCGATGCCTTGCTAAGTTGGACGATGTCGAATACTTCTTGCCGCATTCCGGACATATGTGTTCATCGTCGAGTAAATTAGCGTCATGGGTATTGCCCTCAGCACCATCGCTCAACTTGCTGCCCTCTGAGTTGCTCGAATTACTTGAAGAGCCCATGAAATGTTCGTCACTACTGCAGCTAGGCAAGCTGCTGCACGAGTGCTCATCGTATCGTGAGTGATCGGAAATTGTGGAACGACGAAGCTTCTTCCGATCAAATACCTTGTGGCTGTAGTAGTTGGAATCATCATCGGAGGAAGAGTAGAATGTAGTACGTGGCACTGTTAATAAAGTGTTGCAATTATGATGACCCGTTTGGTTATTCTGAAATTCTGTGTTGTCATAAGGTTGGTTTCTAGCATTGAACTCTTGGTTTTTGTGCCACAAGCCATTGCTGGACCCATTGTTCGCACTGCTTGCAGGTTTTTCTATCACACTTGAAGGTTCTGACATTTGCGGATCGTTTGCTTTCTTCGGAGCGGTTGTCTCATCAGCGAGATAATCCAGTGCTTTATGACGTTTTATGTAGTCTTTAATTTCTGTGATATTAGTTGTGCTGAGTCGTCCGGCAGCTAGTGTGACTTCAGCCAATTGAGTGAGATTATACAGCTCTTCTGGTATTGCGGTTGCTTGTTCTTTCGTCATTTTAATTCGTATCCGTTCTGAAAATAAATACAACGACATTGATTGAAATACTTATTGAGCGATATTTGATCCAGCTAAATTCTTAAATTTTAAAGTTGTGTAAAATGAAATGAGAGTATATGAACTGAAATCGACTTCACAAGTAAAAAATTCCCATACAGCAATACAGTCATTTAATTTTATCGCTTATTAGTGCTTGATTGAAATAATCACATGTAATGAAGAACCCTCAGCTCCATTTATAAATGAATTTAATCTTTATTTGATTTTAACTCAATTTGGTATATTACATGCTTTCTATTATTCGCATATTGCTGTTTCAAAGAGAGCAATATCGGCCATTTTTAATTCCATGAGATTCTTTTACTTTACTATAGGTAAATCAATCATCATCTAAATATATCATATATACATCATAAATGTTCCTCATTCTGGTTTTTAAGAATGGGTGTTATTTACATTCGAAGATCTCTTTCTGGTTTGGGCTAATTTTGGAACTAAAATTTTAGATGTAAATACAATGAATTTTCAGATCTTGTAAACCCGTTGAGCTTTCTTCACCTGAAATCTAACTATATAGAAAGTTTTATTGTTTTCTTTTTTGATAAGTCAACCGGATGTTCGAAAATTCTGATATTAGTTACATGGGGGCTAGGTAAAATGTTCACCCGATTTGATCCATTTTAGGTACAAAAATACCTTCTTATGAGTAAAACATACTCTCTCATTTTCATTGAGATAACTCAAATATTGGCCGATATATGCGGTATAAAGTCACCCTGAAGTTCAAAAATCATTACAAGTATATTACGTATATGACAGCTATAGGAAGTATTGATCCAATTCAAGCCATTTTTGACGCAAAAGCTTACTATTATTTAGAGTTATCATTTATTAATTTTTGTTACCGATATTTTCGGTAAAAAGTCAACTATAGGCGCTGGGGTCCACATAATCAGTACCTAGGCGCTTGAACAGTTTTGGTTCGATTTTCGAAAATTTTGGGTCACAAGGCGCCTACTTTAAACGCATTATTCACGCAAAGTTTTACCCCGATACAATCAGTGTTGCTTGATTTGCATACTGGAAAGTAAAAAATCAGATGGAAAATAAAATGGTGTTACATGAGAAATAGGCGTGGTTGTAATCCGATTTCGCGAATTTTCGCGTAGCAGTAGTCCGATTACGCCCATCTGCAATACCAACTGTCTTACGGTACCAAGAAGCATGTGTACCAAGTTTAATAAAGATATCTCAATTTTTACTCAAGTTACAGCTTGCACAGACGGACGGACGGACGGACAGCAGTCACCCGGATTTCAACTCGTCTCTTCATCCTGATCATATACATAACTCCATAGCTATCTCGATTAGTTTTAGGTGATACAAACACACGTTAGGTGAACAAAACTACTATACTCTGTAGCAACATGTTGCGAGAGTATAAAAATAGGGCAATGGCAACAATTATTCAAACATGTCTCGGAAAAAAGTAGGATTGCGGTGTCCATGATAACTTGGTGCTGGGTCATTCGAAATCGAAAAATCAACCTACATTCATTTCACATTTTTAGAGGACACTTTGAAGAAAAAGAACGAAATTTTTTCTGAAAATTGGGTAATTTTGTATGAAAATATAAAACTTACTATACAATTCTGAAATAACTGTCCCGTGATAGTAGCCTCCTAAATGATGTGCAGAAATAGTGTTCGAATATTCAAAAGGATCGGCGGAGTACCGACTTTGAAAACTTGAGTTGTGGAGAAAATGGTATAAGGTTTTGAACATTAAAAAATCTGATGTAAAACGTTGATAAGACAGGTATAAAAACAGCTATAATTTCGCTAGGATCAACGAATTTAGAAAGGAAAATTCTTGAGATATAATATTATGCATTCACTTAAGATAAATAATATTAAATTCCTACACACTTCTTAAGGCACATTTTTATTTGGGATGCCTAATATGTGGGAGAAAAAGTATATATTTTTTCACGTGTCATTCAAAGATATATGTATATGTATATATGTATGTACAATACATATATCTTTTTTAAATATTATATATATACAATTGAAACTTTATAAACTTACAAGTATATACTATAACATATGTATCCGTTTTGTGTGTATGTACATTATAATCCAATAAGTCCGCACAAGCCATAATTACTAATTTTATGTTATATAAAATGTGTTTTACCCCTTTATCGGTTGCGGAAATGCTCATAAAGTTAGTATGTGAGTCAATTGAATCTACAAATCAGATGGAAATTTTCTTTAGACACAAATATACATATCTTTCAGCAACGATAACATTTGTGTTATTTTTTAGAAAAACATGCACACACCGCATGGGGTCTCTGTGAGGACATACGGAATGAGCGGCCAGAAGCAAAACCATTTGAATTTCACAATGTACTTACATACCTACATACATGCATCATTTGTATGTACATAAGCGTGATCCACCCAAACCACTTGTACATGGACCCCCTGAAAGACTGTATGACCAAAATTAATATTGTTTTTGTATTTGCCACAAAGTTGCAAACCCCGACCACAGTCACACCATAACCAACGGAGTGTTTCTATGCATATATATTTACATGTTAATTTGACTAGCAGTGATCTCCACTTTGCCACTTGATTCACTGCACACTGCTCCTCTCGAATGCCACACCAAACCCACTACCAAATTGCAAAGCAGCGAATTTTGTTTATGTGCGCAATCAGAAATTCACAAGAAGCGCATGACGCAGTCAACTCGGTTCAGCTGTTCTTCCGACGCTTTAGCTGTGGCTATAATATCGTGAGATAGGTGAAACAACCTGCTAAATATGAAAAGTGCGTCATTTTCCTTTAGACGCCCATAATTTAATGAGTTGAATTGGGGCAAAATCGGCGAGAAGACGGCAACGAAAAAAAACTGATCAGCCCTGCGCGCGACAAGACGGCGATAGACGAAACATTCGGTGGGGGTTGGTGTGCCGGACGACTGGTCTGTTCGGCGAAACGACGAGTGTGGGAAAAACCAAAACATACGCTTATCCACACTCCGCACATTCATAAATACATTTGTGTATCTTCGTGCACTCAAGCCAATTTAATGCTTATAAACAATGCACAATTAATTATAAAGATCTGTGGTCACTTTGCTTACGGGTGGAATTCAAACATAGAAGACTCGTGGAAATTTCACTTCCGACACATTTCTTGCAAATGGAAGGTGTTTTAATTTATTTATTATTATTATTTTTTTTTTGTGGTGATGATGATCGAAATGTGTGCTATTTTTTATGCTGAAACATATTTTAGTATAAATATGTATGTATATGTGTGTGTTAGAAAATAAAATTTTTATTGCAGACAAAAATAATTTTTTTGTTTATAATTAGCGCACAATTTTTCATATTTTTCAAAATTTATTTATTTTAAAATATATCTTGACAGCGATATCAATGTGTTTCAAGAATTAACTCCAGCGAACTTTCAGTATATGTCTTGAAATTCATCTGCTTCCATATTTCTTTTTAGCAGCTTAGATCCTATGTTATATATTAGGTTAGTAAGGAAGTATTCATGCGTTTTTGATCAAGTTCTGGAGTTTTATAGTATTATTCAAAGATTGTCCATAGATGCCAAGAAACATGTGTATACCAAGTTTCATCAAGATATCTCAATTTTTGAAAAGGCAGACAGTCACTCGGATTTCAACTCGTCTCATCATCCTGATCATTTATATATACTCGTATACATATAACCCTAAATCTAACTCGATTAGTTTTAGGTGATACAAACAACCATTAGGTGTACAAAACTATAATACTCGGTAGCGACATGTTGTAAGAATATAAAAATTATTACGTTTATGCTTTAAATGATTAAAATATACTGAAGAAGACGCACTTGGAACAATTGAATAGTAAACAAGTGACGCCATCTCTTGGTAAACCGTACCAATATAAATAAAGATACAATCGTACTTGTTTATCACTATCTATAATTTTTTACTACAATACTTTGGTGTCTACATAACCGTATAAATTCAGAGTCTGCCCGAAAGTATGTGTGGAATATATAATAATGAATCCACTGTCTAAAATTATTCACGAATATAGTTAAAATCATTAGGACTTTTCTGAGTATGTGCATGAAATTATTCAGGGTCTTCTTCCTGCGCAAATTAGTGTCAAAAGTGAGTTGCAATAATAACGAAAATAATACAGTGCGTTCAAAAAATAACCTTTCACCTTTGCGCGATCAAAAAAACTGTGAAAACTGTTTATATTTTTTTGCAAATTAACAAATATTCAATTACGATCACTGTCGCGTACATTTGGTTCAGTTTTTTTGATCTTCTTAATTTGTGACGACGTGCCGTGAAATAAGAAAGTGGAGACAAAGCTATTGTTCCTTTTTTGAGAAGAATCCACTGTTGAGTCTAAGAGCAGCTAAAAATTGGGCATCAAGCGCAGCAGTACTGTAATAAAACCTCTACTTTCAAAATCACAAATTTGTACAAGAAAAAACGTTAACTTCGTCTGCACCGAAGCTATAATACAAATTTCGTGAAAATATCTCTAAAAATTAAAAATATTTTCAAAAAGTTTTCCATACAAGCAATTGTCGCTCAGTTTGTATGGCAGCTATATGCTATAGTGATCCGATCTAAAAAAAAGTTTCGGAGATTGCACCATTGCTTTAGGTAAAAAATTTCATTCGGCGATTACTAAAATACCTTGAGGTCGCTTACTTTGGAATATGCGAAAAATTTAGTTGAAAGTTGCCTTCAAAGATATAAAGCTATAATAGACCAGGGGGTCTGAAGAATATTATTGATAAACGTCAGCTATAATAAAACAGTATATTTTCTGTAATTACAACATATTTTCCAATAAACGCTACCTACACTTTGGAAATCGAAAACGTTATTTTATGAACGCACTGTAGATAGGAATTGATCATCTTCGAACCCATACTTCCCTCACCTCTTTATTACAAAAATTCCTAAATC